TAGTATACTTCTACCTAGGTAGGTACTTAGTAAGACCGTCTACGGCTATATCCGTGATCTTTACCTATTAGATAGATAGGCGCTTTACCTATATCTCTTAATAAATCTATAGGCGGTTAATATCTACGTAACGAAGTTTAGTCTAAAATACTAATTTCTCGCGATTTAATAGGTTAACGGTTTACTTATTATCGTAATTTAATACTTCTTACTATTTAGTGTTAAATTCGATAAATTTAAATAGCTATTTAACCTAGTATAGCTACTTAGCTACGTATAAGATAGCTAATAATTTAGCTTCTATAGTAGATATAGTGATCGTCTTCTACCTACGAGATTTCTACTCGATTAGACTACTGAATAAAGAGAAGATAAAACCTTCTAATAACTTTCTATTAGGATTATCGGCGAAACTTATATTAGACGAAGTAGTAAAGATCTAGTAATCTAATTAGCTACTACTAAAATAGATAGCTAGGTCTTTCGTCCTATATAGGTAGGAAATTAGATAGTTAATAGTAGCTAGGTACTTCTTATTATAGCGTATAAGAGATTTAGCTAGTAGCTAATTAGTAAAGACGGTATCTAGTCTAGTCTATATAATATGGAAAAGGATCGAACCATACTTCTACTAGTATAGTTTAACGGTTAATTAGTTAATTTAACTAGTGATCGGATTAAGACGTTAATTACTAACTAGTAGTATATTAGGTAGTTTCCTGCCTAGGAGGTTAAATTTAGTAGCGATCTTTTTAATATAGGCTAATTAGTTTAGCTAGGTCTTTCGTCGCTATCGGTCGCGTATAATTCGAATACTAATAAATTAGGTAAGTTTACTATAATCCTTTATCTTAAAGCGCTATAAGAGAAGTTACTTTATCTAGTAAGCGTATAATCTCTTACTTCGGTAGTAGGTAGCTAGGAAATCGTTAATAAATACTATAATAACTATATAATTATTAGTATAAAGCGTAGGATCTTTAGGATAAGATTTAAAGCCTAGTAAGAGAAGTATCTCTTTCACGTCGTCTTCCTATCGTTTACTAGTAATTCGAAGACTATATACTACCTTATATAGGCGAAGGACCTTAGTCTTTCGTCCTAAACCTAGTAGGTACTAGTGGTATACTTCTTCTTTAAGATCGCTATTTAGGAAAGCGTTAATAGCGTCTATCTAAAAGGTCTCGAGGTTAAAATACGTGATAATCGCTATAAGCGTGCGAAAGGTCCTAGCAATAAGTATACTAGTACGTGGGTCTTCTAATTCGTCTAGTGTCTATATATCTCCGCGTATATATAGACGCGCTTTAAAGCGTATAAGGTATCTATCGGACTCTAGGCGGTGACCATAAAGTCGTAGTTATATACATAAGATAATAGTGTGTATAAGGATTAGTAAATACTTAACGTAGTGTCTAAATACACGGTTATAAGTCTAGCGGTCGTGCGTACTTCTTATGTAGAAGAAGAAGTACCACGATTATAGAAGAGTACCACTGATCTCGAAGAGAGATCATAAAGGATGATAAACTTGATTCAATTTAGTTAGGAAACATAGCAGTATTTATATCTTAGAAATATAGTAAAAGATCATATAAGAAAGTAAAGACTATTAGAGTATTAGATAGTCTCCTACCTAGGTAGGTAATTCGGTATAAGTATATGTCGGACTCTAGGCGGTGACCATAAAGTCGTGGTTATACACACAAGACGATAGTGTGCATAAGGGTAAATACTCAACGTAGTGTCTGAATACACGGTTATGAGTCTATCGGTCGTGCGCACTTCTATGAAGGAGAAGTACCACGATTGTGGAAGAGTACCACTGATCTAGAAGAGAGATCACAAAGGATGATAAACTTGATTCAATTTAGCTAGGAAACATAGCAGTATTTATATCTTAGTAACATGGTAAAAGATCACATAAGAAAGGATAGAGTATTGGAGTGTTAGATAGTCTCCTGCCTAGATAGGCAATTCAATGCGAGTATGCAATTCAATGCAAGATCGTTGAGGATCAATTCGATAGATCTTATAGAGAAGATCTAGATGAGAGAGGGGTTATATGAGTGGGTCCTTCGTCATGTGACCCCACAACATCCACATGTTGACAGTATATAATTTAATATAAGATCGTTAAGGATTAATCTAATAGATCTTTATAGAGAAGATCTAGACGTAGAGAGGGGTTATATAAGTAGGTCCTTCGTTATATAACCCTATAATATCTATATATTAATATACCCCCTTAGTTCTCGATATAAAAGTAGAATAAGAGTAAAGTAAGAACTAAATAAGAGAAAAGAGAAACAGAATAACTAGATAGGAGATAGTATCTCTATACCTAGTTATCTAATAAATTTAGTATACTTCTACCTAGGTAGATACTTAGTAAGACTGTCTACGGGTATATCGGTAGTTTTAACCTATTAAATAGATAGGCGCTTTACCTATATCTCTTAATAAATCTATAGGCGGTTAATATCTACGTAACGAAGTTTAGTCTAAAATACTAATTTCTCGCGATTTAAGAGGTTAATAGTTTACTTATTATCGTAATTTAACACTTCTAGTTAGTTAGTGTCGAATTCGATAAATAAGAAGAGACTTTTAATCTAGTATAGCTATTTAGCTATATATAATATAGCTAATAATTTAGCTTTTATAGTTAATATAGTAATCGTCTTCTGCTTACGAGATTTCTACTCGATTAAACTACTAAATAGGGATAAGATAAAACCTTCTAATAACTTCCTATTAAGATTATTAGTAAAGCTTATATCGGACGAAGTAGTAAAGATCTAGCTATCTAATTAGCTACTACTAAAATAGATAGCTAAGTCTTTCGTCCTATATAGATAGGAAATTAGGTAGTCGATAGTAGCTAAGTACTTTTTATTATAGCGTATAAGAGATTTAGCTAGTAGCTAATTAGTAAAGATAGTATCTAGTCTAGTCTATATAATAGGGAAAAGGGTTAAACTATACTTCTATTAGTATAGTTTAACTATTAATTAGTCGATTTAACTAGAAACGATAGGGTTAAGACGTTAATTACTAACTAATAATATATTAAGCGGTTTTCTGCCTAGGAGGTTAAATTTAGTAGCGATCTTTTTAATATAGACTAATTAGTTTAGCTAGGTCTTTCGTCGCTATTAGTCGTATATAATTCGAATACCGATAAATTAGGTAAGTTCACTATAGTTCTTTATCTTAAAGCGCTATAAGAGAAGCTACTTTATCTAGTAAGTATATAATCTCTTACTTCGGTAGTAGATAGCTAGGAAATCGTTAATAAACACTATAATAACTATATAATTATTAGTATAAAGCGTAAGGTCTTTAGGATAGCTTTTAAAGCCTAGTAAGAGAAGTACCTCTTTTATATCGTCTTCCTATCTCTTACTAGCGATTCGAAGACTATATACTACCTTATATAGGCGTAGGACTATTAACTTCCGTCCTAGCCCTAGTAAGTATCGGTAGTATACTTCCTCTTTAAGATTACTATTTAGGAAAGCGTTAATAGTATCTATCTAAAAGATCTCTAGGTCGAATCTAGTAATTATCGCTATTAGCGTACGGAAGGTCCTAGTAATAAGTGTATTAGTATATAGGTCTTAGTCGTTAGGGATCTACGTATCTCCACGTACGTATAGGCGTGCTTTAAAACGTATAAGATATCCTAATTCGTTAGATTTATAGGTAAAGACCTATCTTATTAGTATAAGCTAGTAGCGTAGGTAATCTAATTAGTTAAGATCTTTATAATTCGATTAGTATATATATCTAACGATATCTTTATTAATAGGTTCGAATATATATATATCTAGAAGTTTATTAAATTCGATTCGTATAGCTTATCGGAATTAGCTTTCGAAAGGATAACTAGCTAATTAGTAGTAGCTAGGTAGTAGCGGAGGAATTAATAAGATCGTAATCTTTAGTTATTAGTATTAATTAGATAAAAAAGCTTAGAAATAGGTTATAAGGGATAAGTGAGGGCGTTTTCTCTTACTTTCGTCGTCGGTTAAGTCGGAATCTAATCGTAGGCGTTTAGTTAGTATATTAAGAGGTTTATATCTAGAAGGGTCGAAGTTTGTGTTATTAATTAAGACGAAAGGGACTATATCCTCTAGTTCTAATTCGCTAGATCTTATCGATTCGTCCGATTTCGGTTTAAGCGGCGGTGTTATTAGTTAATCTCCGAGGATTTCGTCTATTAGTATAAGTATAGTATCGTCTGTTAGTATAGGTATAGTATAATCGAAAGTAGTACTACTATTACCCCCGAGATCTTACTATACCGGTTAGTTAAATAGGATATCTATATCCTTAAGGATTTGATTAATCTCTTCGTCGTTAATAGTATTAATCTATTAAGATAGATTAGTTTCCTTATAGATTTAGATACGTTAATTAGGTAGCGAAGGATTATAGGATTCTTCCTCGTTGAATTAGACGTCTCGTGCACGAATTACACGTCGTTTAGTAGGTATCTAGATACGCTAGATGTTATAGGCTTTATAACCTACTAGATAGCTAATAGTAGTACGTGGTACTAGCTTAGCTAGTTAATCTAGGTAGCTTAGTAATACGTATATAAGCTTTATATCTAAAGATTCGAATATTTAAGTAGGCCTCTGCACGGGACCGGAAAGACCGCACCCAAGACCGCATTAGACCGCACCGCGCGGTCTTTGGTCCCAGACCTTGAGACCGCTGGGCGGTCCTACATTTTTAGGGACCGCACCACTGCGGTTTGGTGCGGTCCTGCGGTCCTGCAAACAAGCAAAACATCTTAGACCCAAGGTATGCATAATTTATGTAGAAGTCGCCTGTATTTTTGAGTATTCTGCTTTCAAATGATATTTAATTTTATATAATTCTGAGGTAGGAGTAAAGAATAATTCTTTGTTTGGTGTCTGTTGATTTCTACCGAAAAAGCGAGGATTGACTGATTTCCTTATGAATAGCTTATGTGGTTCTTGTTTCTATTAAAGATATACAAAATCCTCATCCTGTCTCAAGCGCTTTGGAACACGCCCAGATGAACGCCTCTGAGTAGTCCTCCCTTCTTCTAAGTGGCTATTATCAGGCAGGGGAACCTCATCGTCATCATCGTCAAGTTCAAATAGCTGATCCGGGGTAGCCCTTCTCTTTCCAAGCGCTCGCGCACTAGGAAGTTGGATAGTTTCGGCAGAATCTTCAGTAGTGGATAGGTCTTCCTCGTTATCACTAATTGGATCAAATTGTTCCTCTTTCTTCTGGGCGTCCTTCTGCTCTTTCTTTGCTTGCTTCTCTTGCGTAGAAAGATACTCATCAACTAGGGCAAGCTGCTCTGACTCCACGTCAAATTTTGTTGTACACATAAACAACATCAATTCCTTGATTGTCTGCGGTTTCAGTGAGCCCCGGCGATAATGGCAGATATCACGCGCAGAGTTAAATAACCGCTCAACGCCAGAACCACTGGCTGGTGTTGTAAGGATGTCTCGAGCAAGGCTTGCCAGAATAGGATATTCATTTTGGTGTTCTTTCCAGAAAACGAGAGGGGTTGCTTCGACAGTACCTAGTGAGGGTGGTATAAGAGAAGGAGTATATAAGAAGAGGTATATAGATTAACTTACTACTTCTAAGATACCGTGTAAGCTCATCTGGAGCCGTCACGTTTGACTGAAGAGATACAGTAGGTCTCAGAAGGATATCAATGTCAGAGACGTCTTGAATTGTGGGCTGGAGAGTTGATGTAGACTGTGCCTCTTCGTAGCGCTACCGGTAAGGCTGAATGTAAGCCTCTAGCGACTGCTTATAGCGAGGCCCCCAGTGAGGTTCCCATTCAGATATTGTGAAGAACTCTAGCTTGTTCCGTGGTCCTAGGATAGTCGCAATTGCATAGAGATCACCAGGAATATCATCAGTCTTTCCATAATACTCTGTAAGCTTATCGCGCGCACGGTCAAGCGCGGACTTCATCACTCTCTTCCAACCAACCTTCTTTCGCGCTAGCTGCACTTTCGCCTTATCAATATGTGTGAATAGGGCGTTATAGATACCAAAGACGTTATGGATAGTCACGTCTGTAGTTGCCGAAAGAGACGAAGTGAATTTGAAGAAGGGATAAGTGATTGACAGAAGATAGTCAACTTGTCGCCATTCATCTCTGTCTATCTTTACATCAGCGAGGTTGAATTGGACACAGAAGTCATCAAAGGCAGACTGCAATCGCCGGGCACGCCTGAGCATGAGGAACGTCGAATTCCATCGTGTCCGAACATCTTGTATAGGCATAAGCTTAGGCTCTTTCGTCTGAAGCCTTATGAAGCTCTCGCGGCGCTGGGGACTTTTGTTGATGTAGACTACTACCTTCCGAACCTAGAATATAGTGCGAGTTAGTAAAGAAAGAGAGATAATAGTAAGAGATTAGAGAGAGCTAGACCTTGTTCAGAGTATCCACGATCTTTCTATTCTCTTGCCGAGCTATATGCCCTTTCTCGGTCCATTCAATCTCTTCCCTCTCGTTTCCTGGGTTCGCGTCCATCTGACCAAGGAGCTCCTTCAAACTGAGCTATATAACATATGCAATACATGGTATACGAATAACCGGTATACTACTAGGTAGCTGTAGGGATTCGACGACCTCTTGAAGGCTACCGAGTAATGTTCCGTTATTAGATACGTTATCAGTAGTAATAGTTAACACCCTCTCAGTAATCCGATGCTTCTCAAGAAGGTCAAGCAAGACAGTGCTTAGATAGGCCCCCGTATGTGAGCCCTATAGAGGTTCAAAGCCAAGTAAGAGCTCTCGGTAATTCCACTCTTGGTCAATGAAATAGCCCGTTATTGCCATAAAAGCTTGGCGAAATGGTGAGGTCCAGCAATCTAATGCAATAGAGAGCTTAGCACTATTAGGAAGCTTCTGTAGAAGAGTATACTGGCGTTCTTCCACGATCTCTTGAAGATGACGGCGGACTGTGGTTGCAGTTGGGATTTCGGGGAAGCAGGGAGCAAGCCGGGCCATCTCAAGAAGGGCGCGAAATTCAGGATGCTCAATAAGCTGGAAGGGTAGCCGCGAGGCAGCAATAAAGGTAATTAACCTTTCCATCCAAGCTTGCGGCGTAAATGATGCTTTACGAGACGACAGATATGCCTAGAAGGGGTATTTTATAAGATTAGTAATAATTAGAAAAAGGTAGACTGATTATCCATACCCCGTTCTTGATAGCCTTCCTAATATCTTGCGACTAAGTCGGTCCTCTCCGACAGGCACCTACTTGCGAATAATGCCTATTCATAGTAGATGTTCCCCGGCGCTTATCGGCAGGATAGGCAAGGATATGGTCGCAATTCTTGCATATTACCTTAGGAGACCCATCCTGGATAGTAGCGACCTGGTAGAAGTGGTCCCAACATTCTGCATTGCGTCTACCCTCAAAGATATTCCGTTTCATCTTACTTCCATACTCCGTCTTTAACCACCAGACGATAAAATCCTCATTCGCCATTTCTGTCCAGAGGATATAGTTTTTCCTTTTAGGAGGACCAACGCGTTCGAGTGTTTCTGGGATAACAGGAGGAATCGCCGGTCGGAGTAAGTTCACGTTAGGAGTAGAAGTTAGCGTTTCGCGCCCGTCGAGGTTAAACAGCCCATCAGATGTGAAGAAGGAGAAAGTATCTCGTGGATTATCCTCAAAAGCCGATAAGGGATACTGATCAGAGAACTAAGAGGAGGCCTGACTCTGTAACATTTTGACGAAATGAGTATAGGATAGGACGGGGGAGGTAAAGGACTTAAGGAGATACCTACTAAAATATTTCCGTCTACTAGAAAAAGCTGAATAAAGGATTTTCTCTAGGAGAAAGCTATAGGCATGATTTAGATAGATCAAATTGAATTGTAATAGTGATTAGGCAGTAGGCTCCACTTTACTACAATCCGATAGGATAAGGGCTACGAAGACCGCAGAAGACCGCATAGAACCGCAGGAAAAACCGCGATAGACCGCATAGAGGGCTGCAAAGACCGCAGAAGACCGCATAGACAGCTAGTAGGAAATACTATGATTGACCGCAGAGGACCGCAGAGAACCATGAGGAGGACCGCACAGGACCGAAAAGGACCGCTAGAAGGCCCATATAATAGTATAATCCTCCTTTTCTGTCTAAGTCTACACTTCATATCAGAGAAACCAATTTTGAAAAGAGATTATTATGATATATTAGTAGTAGAATATAGAATTTCAAGATAAATAGTTAACTAGAGAATCTAAGCTCTCTGATAATACCCTTAATACCTATTTTAGCTGTATGTAGGGGGTTATGTACACTCAACGAAGAAGTCTCAGATAAAGATAGGGTCAGGTACTGATATCGAAATATATATTTCTTACCTCATACACCTAGCCAGCAATAATTATTACTAAACCTCTCTATTAGAACTTAGAAATATACTAGTACTGGCAGGTCTAGGTATTTTAAATAGTAGATTTTCTATATACGAGTATATTTCATCTGTTTTCATAGTGGCTGATGCTGAAATACAGTAAATGTTTATGAAGGGACCAAAACAGTGTTTAATAACAGTAATTAAATGGGATGAATCATCAATTTATGTAGCCGAAAAGAGAAGGTCTTGGTAGAATTATGCAATTGCGGTTCACCGTGGTGAAGACCGCAAGGGACCGCGGTTCACTATGGTGCGGTCTCAACCCCCGAATTCGAGACCGCAAGACCGTGCGGTCCGGTCCGCGGTCCTCGACCTAAGGACCAAGACCGCACCATGCAGAGGCCTATATTTAAGAGATCTAGCTTTACTAGTAGCTAATATAGTACGTTTTCACCGAGGTAGGTAGTAAGTGCTTTATGTAGGGATTACTAATATAGTGTACGGTGAGGTAGGCGGTTTTGAATATAGATAGCAGTTCTAGCTACTTTATACTAAAGATAGCTTAGTAGGCCTAAATCGATAGTTATCTGTCTAGCTATCTTTAAAATTAATGCGCTATAACGCTTAGCGTAGCCGTTTTGGTTAGGTTAGTAGGGCGGTATAGTTTCTAGGTTGATACCACGTGAGATTATGCTTCTTGATCGAAGAATTAGATAGAGATCTTTCGTTATCTGAATAGTAGTAACGGATAGATTAAATTAGTTCTTAATAAGATCGATTTAGTCGTAGAGAGATTATATCGAATCGGCCTTAGTAGATAGATCTTCCGCTAGTTAGTATTTAGTGACGGGGTCTATAGAGTAAGATAGGTAGGTCGTTTTACTAAGTAATAGTTTAAAGTGTATAAGATCCTAATATAGAGATTCGAAAGGGCGATTGTACTATATAGGTTGTCGAGAGATTTAACGATGCGAATTAGCTAGTTTGTATATCTCGTAGTAGTTAATAGGCGAAGATATATCTTTGATAGTGATACCTAATAAGTGCTCTAGTAGATAAGATAGGACGTCCTTACTAACGTATCCTAGTTATCTATGCTAAAGGTCGATTATCCTATCTAACTACTTCTTAGTGTATAAAGATAGGGTAACTATCGGACTCTAGGCGGTAACCATAAAGTCGTGGTTATACATATAAGGCGATAGTGTGCATAAGGATAAATACTTAACGTAGTGTCTGAATACACGGTTATGAGTCTATCGGTCGTGCGTACTTCTTATGTAGAAGAAGAAGTACCACGATTATGGAAGAGTACCACTGATCTCGAAGAGAGATCATAAAGGATGATAAACTTGATTCAATTTAGTTAGGAAACATAGCAGTATTTATATCTTGAAAACATAGTAAAAGATCATATAAGAAAGTGAAGAGTATTAGAGTGTTAGATAGTCTCCTGCCTAAGTAGGCAATTCAATGCGAGTATGCAATTCAATGCAAGATCGTTGAGGATCAATCTGATAGATCTTATAGAGAAGATCTAGATATAGAGAGGGGTTATATAAGTAGGTCCTTCGTTATATGACCCCACAACATCCACATATTAACAGTAACCTAACTAAATTACTTAGTGATAGGTATAACTTAATCGTGTAAGACAGAACCGAGAGATAAGTAAGAGGTAGATAAAACGTGAGCGTGGTTAGTAGTAGTTAGTCGATTAGTAATTAAATTATCCTATCGAATTAGGTAGATACCTAATTTTACGTTAAGCTTATAGATAGGCGTTCCGTCCTTCTCTTCTAGTAGGTAATCCTTACTATTTAGATAGATACCTACGCTAGTAGCTCTTTCTATAGAGATTAGGTTAATATAGAATCTAGGATAATAGGTAACTTATTTTAAAGAGAAAGTAGTTCTATTAAGAGATTCTAATAGTTTAATAGATAGTTCGCTATAACTAAGGATAGTAGTTTCGGTATTTCTAACTATAATAAAGGATATAATAGGCCTATAGTTTAATAGTAAGTCCCTATTATTTATAATATAAATTAATACTCCGGTATTATAGTACTAGGTATCGTTCTTCTTAGTAGGAATCCGGATAGTACTTATTATAATACTATCTTCCTCTCGAAAGAGAGTCTCGATCTATTATTTTAGTATATAAGTAGAGAAAGCGTCTCTAGTAGTTAAATTAGTCGAATTAGTCGAATTAGTCGAATTAGTCGAATTAGTCGAATTAGTCGAATTAGTCGAATTAGTCGAATTAGTCGAATTAGTCGAATTAGTCGAATTAATTAAATTAGCTAGTTAGTAACGTCGAATTATACGTTAATAGGCTATCTTAAATCCTCTAGATTTATTATATCGCTTTTTAAATCGCTCTTAGACCTCTAGGTTAGGTTACTATCCTCTAGGTCTTACCTTAGGATTTATATAGCGATATATCTTAAAATCGTGGTTACTAGAGTTAGGTATATCCCTATAAGGATACTTCCTTCTTCTAGTTAATTATATAGGTCCTTCTTCGTCTAATTCGTTAGGTTAACGTCCTTAGTAGGTTATATAGGCGATAAGTCGTCTTCTACTACTACTAATTAGTATAGTAGGTAGTTAGTACTAGTCGACGAATTAATTAACTAGTTTAGTTAGGATAGGTTTCTTTAGACCCTATAGGATTATATTATACTAGAAGGTATAGAATCTTTAGTCGCTAGGTTAAATTATCTCTAGGAAATCGTATACTAGAGATAGATAGTCTTAGAAGTAGGTAATTACTACTTTCTCGCCTTCTAATTAGCTAATTAGCTACTTCTAACCCTATATAGGTAGTTAAGATAATTTAGTTAGTAGAGCTTATCGTTTTAGCTTATCCTAATTACGTAGGATTTAACGATTCTTCGATTAGTCGGATAGGGCGAAGGTAGTACGTAGTTTCACTATAGCTTCGTGTATTAATAGGCTATTAACGATTTAACATCCTTCTAGTATAAGCGAGGATCGGATACCTTACTTAAGAGATTCGATAGATTAAAGGTATCGAAGGTAGTCTAATCTTAACGATTCGTATTTACTTAGTAGTATCTTATAGATAGCTAGTTAATTAGACGTAAGATCGATAAGCCTAATTAGCTATTTAGGTAGATTAGATATATATATATTAGTAGGGTTTCTAATTATATTAGAGATTTATAATTTAACTAGTTCCTAAGGTAGGGTAATCGGTATAGATTAGTCCGGATCGGTATATTTCTATATATTATTAGCTAGTACGTGGTCTTTGACCGTAGTGATCTATAGGACCTAGTATACGTAAGACTTTAGTAGATAGTGAAGCTAGGTAGCTTATAGAGTAGTTAAATCTATCACTTCTATATAAGAAGTGAAGCGAGAGTAAGAGTAAAGTAAGAGAAGATTAAATTAAATTATTTAAGTAGTTAGAGTAGAGGCGTCGGGCTTATAACTATCGGACTTTAGGCGGTGACTATAAAGTCGTGGTTATATATATAAGACGATAGTGTATATAAAGATAGTAAATAATTAACGTAGTGTCTAAATACACGGTTATAAGTTTATCGGTCGTACGCACTTCTTATGAAGAAGGAGAAGTACCACGATTATAGAAGAGTACTACCGATCTAGAAGAGAGATCATAAAGGATGATAAACTTGATTTAATTTAACTAGGTAATATAGTAGTATTTATATCACAAGAAACATAGCAAAAGATCATATAATAAATTAATAGAATCAGAGTGTTAAGAGTCTCTTGTTTAGGTAGGCAATTATATACGAGATCGTTAAGGATCAATCTGTTAGATCTTTATAGAAGAAGATCTATATATAGAGAGGGGTTATATAAGTAGGTCCTTCGTTATATGACCCCATAACATCCACATATTGATAGTATCTCTAGGGGCCGTCTATCCCTATTTATTATAGATATTTAGGTCTAATGAATATAGCTCTATAAGTGACTATATAAGATAGATATCTCTATTTTCCACCGTAAAGTAAAGAGTAGTCTTTTAGCTATAGCCGTGTATATTAATATTAGTAGGTTCCTTAGCTAAGATCTATAATACGACGAATTAGTGATTTCTACGCGCGGCCGTGTAGAGAGGCGTAGCTCCTTCGTTATTATAAGCTATAATATTAATTCTAGGGGTACTTAATAATAGCTTAGTAGTTAACTGATAGCTATAAAATATAGTAAAATATAATATGTTAATATTATGATATTATATGGTTATATAACTACTTACTAAGCCCTTTTCCTTCCGATAACGTAATTTATAAGCGAGCCGTATACATAAGCGAGCCGTACACTCTCCCC